ATAGTATATTGACTTTAGCGTTGCTCATTGAACGATCTGACGTTTCGTCACCGTAGTGCAGCGCGATTTCTAATTTTGTGGAAAGCTTGTAGCAAAAGGGTTGACTTGGGGCAGGTTTTATATCATCCTGCACCTGAATATTTTTGTTCTTGCAATAGGCTTTTTACTGCATTGCTTGTTTTGTCTGTGATGGGGTCTGTTGTATTGCAAGTTGCAGCATGAACATATTTTTTTCGACCTTTCGGATACCAGCTAGTAGTATTTTCATATTGAAACGAGCTGCAGGCAATAAAAGAAATGGAAGATTCCAGAGAGTGAATTGATCAATTGATTGAGTTCGTGAGCTGATGGTGTAAGCTTGCCTCACTTGAGACAAATTGGTCGAACAGATAAGAAAATTGTTTTACGGGTTCTCTCTTGAAATCCAAAGGACTGGAACCGGAGAAAAGAAAGCCCGCAACAGCCAGCCTAGCCGGCCCTAAGAATTAAGAAAGCTGTGTTTTTCCTTTTGACGAAAAGGAAACTCTGTGTTGAGCTTTGGCAGAAGGTGATTATCTGAAATAGCTTGGACCGGTTGAGGCCTTGTTCGGTTATCCAGGAATGGGTCTAGGAACCATTCCAGCTGATCAAGGTTATATAAATCAATGAACCATTCTGGTTGGGAATCGTTCCATGAAATCGTTCTTGATAACCGAACCAGGTTAAAGCTTTATATTTTGGCATGACAACGGAACCTGAAAAGCGAAAGAATCCAGGTAGAACAGGATGTCCTACCAAAATTCCAGAGTATGCAGAAGGATTTTCGAATAACCATTTGTGCGCCGATGATGTGGCCATGGTGGTAAGCAAGAAATAAAGAAATCGGTTCTCTACCACACCGCATGAAATTTGCGAAACTTTCAGAGAACACCACCATGAAGCAAGTATTAGTACTATTTAATGGATATGCATCTGACTAATAAAAAAATTAAATTGTATATTTGTCTCGTTGTTTATTTTCTAAAACAAAAGACAATGGATACTCCGTGGTCTATATCCCGTACCGTTCATCTTCCTAGCTAACTCGACTAGAGCTTGGCTCGAGCACCTCTCATTTAACTCTCTACAGGATTGGACAAAGCTTGGCATGGCCTTCGTATGGAAAAAAATTGGGTGCACCCCGGGCACACCGAGCTGCTCGTGCTCTCCCCAGCCAGATACACGCCACGTGCACAGGCCTTGCATCGTACGGCATCGCGAAATAACGCTCCGACGGCGGCTAAAACAGAAACGCAACTCGGCTCGTCTACCTTATCCGGCTCAGCTGGAATACAAAACGCAGCGATTGATGTGCCTGTAACCCTAGACCGTGCGGTGGTTGCACGCCATCGCCGTCAAGACGCCCCAATTGATCGTGCCTTGATCCCTAGACCAGTGCGGCGGTTCCACGTCGCCACCGTCGTTGCCGATTCCATGGATGAACCAGCAGCCACCATGGCAAGCGTTGGAGCCCTAGAAGACCTGATGCCATCTTCTTCAGTCATGGAGGATTCACGTGCACTAGGAATTGATGCTATTGGTGGTGGTCATCTTGAAGAAGAACAACGACTATCATCATGGTCGATTATCGATTAGATCTTTGTGCCTTTTCTTCTATGTTGTTTGATTTCTGACATATAGTGTGCATATTTCACAGAACACCATGTCAATTGCCATGGGAGTAGAGCCATCGGCACCATTTCACAAACATCTGGATCAGTGGAGATTGAAGGACCTCATGAGGTACAAAAATAATTAATAAAGTTACATAATATATATGTACAGGATATATGATATTTTGTTTATTTTTAGTACACCTTTAATTGAAAATCTATATGTATAGGAGGTGGTTCATAGAGCTGGGCAAAATTTCATTGCTCGTGTAGTTGGAATGACATTTGAATCTGAGGAAAAGGCTTATGATATGTACAACACCTATCTTAGGCAAGGTTGGGTTTAGTGTTAGAAAGAGCAAGATGAAGCGTCGCCAAGATGGTAGTATAAGTCGAAATACATAGTTTGCGAGCGAAGGACATCGAAAAAATGAGTCATCGAGAAAAGGACATTACAAGGACGGGTTGTGAAGCTCGTGTTCAGTTTAGTATCTCCAAAGATGGGATTTGGACGGTGCAAAAGGTCGTAGAACAAAGCACAATTATTATCTTGCTAGTCCAAATAAGGCACACAAGTGAGGTCCCAACGACAAGGTTATAGAGGCCGACAGAAATTAATTGGGTAAATCCGGGAAGCTGGAATGAAGCCAAAGACAAGTTTATGAGTTCATGAAGGAGTTTTATGGAGGGGAAGAGAATGTACCATTTGCTAAGATGGATTGCAATAATGAGATTGGTCGCATGGAGCGCAGATAAACAGACTTAGAAGCCAATGATGCCAAACACACTATCTGAATATCATAGAAATAAACAGTTAGAGGATCCTACATTTTTTTATGCATTTCAGGTAGACAAGGAAGATGGTCGTATAGCAAATTTCTTTTGGGCAGATGGTCAGTCTATCATGGATTACAAATGCTTTGGTGATGCTGTGACATTTGACACCACCTTTAAAACTAATAAGTTTGAAATGCCTTTTGCTCCGATTCTTGGCTGCAACCATCACAAGCAAACAATAATTTTTGGGTGTGCACTTCTATTTAATGAAACTATTGAATCATTTGTTTGGCTTTTTAAAACCTTTCTAACAGCAATGTCAGGACAGCACCCTAGCACAATTTTTACAAATCAAGACGCGGCTATGGCAGGGGCGCTTGCTCATGTATTCCCAAATACAAGCCACCGTCTTTGTTTGTGGCATATGCTTAAATGCTGCTAAACATCTTAGTCATGTAATTCATGAGTCGAATAAGAAAGGTAACAAGTTACTAACAGATTTCAAAAATTGTGTGTATGAAGACAGGTCAGAGGCTTACTTCATAGAGAAATGGCATGAATTGTTGGCTAAATACAATCTTGGGAATAACTCTTGGATGGCAAACCTGTATGATTTGAGGGCAAAATGGGCTGCAGTATATCGTGACTCTTTTACAGCAGACATGAACTCGACCCAGAGGAGTGAAGGTATGAATAATGTTTTCAAGAAACGATTTCGTAGGAGACTTGGTCTTTCGGAACTCCTTGTAGAATGTGAGAAGGTTGCGGTTAGTCTCCGTGCAAATGAGTTGGATGCTGATTTTCAGTCACGCCGAAAGAGCCCAGTTACATACAGTCCAAATCTGCCTATGTTGATTACTGCATCTGATTCATATACTAGGAGAATATATTCGGAGTTTGAGGAAGAATTTAAGAGGCAGTTTACATTGTCTTGTGATTTCCTAGAAGCTGCGGGGACAAACAAAACATTCTTTGTTAAGTATATGCAGTCTGACCGTGGAGCAACAATAGTATTGAACACTGAAGATTCCACCATTAGATGCTCTTGTCGGAGGTTTGAATCCATAGGTATGTATACTATTTACATTTCAATTTATACATTGTAAGCTGTAATATGGGTTGTTTAAATTGGAAATTACCATACATCGTACAGGTTTATTGTGCAAGCATGCTCTTAGAGTCTTCAATACAAATGGAGTATACAATTTGCCATCGCAATATATCCTGCCTAGATGGACCAACTATGCCAAAAGTGGATTTTATATTGAGAAACAAGTAACTAAGATGAGAGATTTGAAAACACATGCAACACTTATATCTCGACAGGCCACATCTCTTGCATTGAAGTGTTCTCGGTCAAAAGAACTTCTTGATAAATTGCAAAAAGCCATACATAACTTGAACCTGGAAGCAGATACTTATCTAAGTGAGATGCATGAAAAATCTAATGAGGTTCCTCCAATTCCAAATGAAAATGTCAAGCAACCATTAAATGGAGTAATATCTTTTAGAATTTCTGAAGTAATAAAGGGACCAAAGAATACACGTTTAAAAAAAGCTGTTGAAAAGAAGGCAGGGAAGAAGAAGAAGGGTGGTCAGAAAAAAGGTACTGATCTGCCCACTGTTTTAAATATTGTATTATCATATTGTATTATCATATATATGCTTCATTGTAGGTGAAAATCCGGAAACTAACGATGTAGAAGAAGGGCCATCTTCAGCCATGGATGCTCCTTTCGTGCAAGCTGGATATGCTACTTCCACAATGCCACAGTTCAGTTTACTTGCTGATCCTTCTGCAATGGCTGCTCCATACATACTAGGAGGATACACAGGTCTCTTAATCGAAGTTGATCAAGATGCTACACTGCAAACAACTGTTAGGAAGTTACATTTTGATGGAGTGCAAGAATAATAAATCTATGTAACTTTGCTCTTTTGTTGTTAGGAAGTCTCTTTTGCTAAGATAGGAGCCTTACACACTTTGCTCTCAATAGGAGCCTGTTTACAACAATGCATTTCAGAGAATCTATGAGATTATTAAGACATCCATTCCACTGCTGATTTCAAAACATCCAAATATATTTCAGATAAAAATCACATTTTACATTTTACAAGTATCAATGAACTATATACTGATACAATTGTTGACAATCTGTCGGTCCTATCCAAACATCTACATTCATCTACATTCAAAGCCCTAGGGATATATTAGTACTAAATCGACGCACAGACCACTTTTTGTATGAGTACAGTCGATCTGAGCTAGTGAGAACTTCAGCTTGAGAGAACTTCAGCTTGAGTGGCTGTTCAGAGCCTGATGCATCGATTCAGTGCACAGGCTTCTTGTCCCAGCCATGGACTTGCTCCAAGCTGCAAATACAGCGGCCAAAACGTCTTTAAGAAATAAATTCTTCAACCATTTGTCAAATGTATCACGCTGCAGCACCTACATGAACTGCACGCCTATCAACAAGTTATTTTCTACTTGCGAATGCTCCCCACATCACTTTCTCATCCATCTTTTACATTTTTTCAGACTGTAGCATGTAGCTAGTAGACATCATCAGGTAGACATGACCTCAGGAGCCTTCAGGACTTGGACAATGGTTCCCCGGCCAAGAACGACGGGAACATCCTGAATGCTCTGCTGTGCTGAAACAATGACACCCATATCAATCAATCAAGTATAATCTGCCCATTTCAGATTTAGATTCTTCAGCTTACCTGAACACCCATATCCTCAGCCGGTAGAGGCTCAGGCGACGGCAAGAGCGCCGGAATAGGCGAAGGCGACGGCGACGACGGATCTGCGCACGCAGAAGGCGCCGGTCAGGTCACAGGCGGAAGGCAAGCACGCTCTAGGAACGAAGGACTCAGCCGTGTACGGGCGGGCAACGACGGATGGCGAGGTCGCTTGCAGCGCTGGCCGCAAGTACGGGCGACGCCGGCATCTGCGGGAGAGCGCCCCTGAGCTGGCCGCACCACGAGGGAGAGCGCCCCTGTGCTGGCCGCGCCGCCGAGGAGCTCTGCCCTTGTGCTGGCCACGCCGCTGGGGAGTGTGCCCATGGGCTGGCCGCGCCGCCCCAGGATTGGGAATTGGGATGGGAACGAACAAGCTGAGCCGATGAGGTTCCATGAGCCGAGCCGTCATGTTGTTTGGCTGCCGTCGGAGGGTTATTTCGCGTTGCCGTACGATGAAGGAGCTGTGCACGTGGCGTGTATCTGGCTGGGGAGAGCACGAGCAGCTCGGTGTGCCCGGGGTGCACCCAATTTTTTCCCTTCGTATGGTGTTTCCAGAGCACCTACACTCACCCAGTGAAAGGATGCCTAAGTGGAAGAGCGAATTGGGCTAATATAAAGTTCTCACAAAATTAAACTCTACCGCTTAAGCCATCTCACTCCCTGTGCCTAAATAGTGTTTCTGGCCTACCGCACAAAGTTTTGCAACCTAATCCCAACCTTAGACTAACGTGGCAATTATAGTAATGTAAATACATGAAAGTAAATTGCTTAAATGTAAAGAAGAAGGGTTAGGAACATGACGATGTTTTCCTGAGGTATCAGATAGTCGACACTCCCCACTAGTCCTCGTTTGAGCACCTTGCCAGGTATTGATCCCCCTTGATCCGTGCAAGAACCAAGTGCTCTCTAGGGATTGGTTCTTCGACACTCCAGCACAGAGAATCACCCACAACTGTTTACACCATGAGTCAGGCCTCTCACAATCACCACCAAGAGATCACCAAGCTCCACAACACCACCAAGTCATCTAGGTGATGTTGATCGACAAGAGTAACAAGCATAAACTCTCACTTGACTTAACTAAGTCTAATGAGAAGAGTGGATGCACAACCCCTAAGCACTAATCGAGTCCTTAATATTGAATTAGCGAATCCAAATCACTCCAATATCCCCAACCTCTCTTGGACACCAACAAGTGTATGTGTATCTTTAGAATGCCAACAGAGTCCACTAGCATGAGACAGAGGTGTATTTATAGCTCTAAGTCCAAGAACTAGCCGTTGCCCCTCCACTAAGAAAAACTGTGTGCACCGGATATATCAGGGCTGCTATGGTCTTCACACCGGGCAACTCTGGTGAAGCTCCAACGAAACATGATGTTGTGAACGTCACATTCAAAACATTGTTTTTTATTTATGGTACAACACACGTACAAAATACAATTATCATGCTGTTATTTTTTATTCTCATTGCAACGTATGAGTATAATCCTAGTTAATAATCATTCTTTAAGTAGTCAGTGGCATGCCGGTTGACAGTGAGACATCTGTGTTAAATTCAATTCATCAAAGATCTTCCAATCTAATCTCTCGAGAGGTGAGCAACCGTGCCACCTGTTTCACCAAAGAAATTATCAATACTCAACACACAAACTTTTGAGTAGAAAGACGAATTTTAAAAGCATCGTGTTCCGTCTCCAAGGCTCACGGTCTTCTTAGGTTGGTCCTGGTGCTGGCGCTGGCGCTGGCGCGGGCGCGAGCGCTGACGCTTCTGTGGCTCCTGCTTTGTACTAGCGAATAACACGGCTGTTGATTTTCTGAGCCGGCCGTGCATTTGGCTCCACAGATGACTAAATGAGAAATAAACACGGAGAAGTGACAAGGGTTTAGGATCACTCTAGTTCAATGTGAAGATAAAATTCGCAATTTAGAGGAACGTGGTTTTGTTCAGTGTTCTCTTAGTAACCTACGTACCTCCTTCACTCGATCTATCGAGTCGATCTCCTCCTTTGATGCATCTGCTATCTGGTACACATTTAGGCACAAGAATATTAAATTGAGTCATTTTCGTATTCAATAAGTTCATCTTATATTTAACAAGTGATATGTTTAGCCAACAAAAAATGGCTCCTTACTAGTTTTTATAGTAAAAGAAAGAAAGAAAAAATTCCACCACCACCACTACAAAAAAAGTTCTGAAATACCCCACACCAAATTTTAAATTATACACCACTGCTATATATCATAATTACCCCAAAATATGCTTTGTACCTATTTATAAATTATTATGTACTACCCTTTTCATATATCCTTATACATGCCTCTCTATTATATTAAAAAATAAACCCAAAACCTGGGGAAATGATTACATAATTTAGTTGAACATAAGTTTGTTAATGTATGCAAAAAGATTATAGTTGTAATTGGCATGATCATTCAATGTAAACTATATTAGGAAAATATATATAAACATATATAGCTAGGTGCAATATACACACAGAGTCAAAGTTGCACATAGCTTGATGCATATGTAGCCCAGGATAGGTGAAAGTGAAAGGCATAATCATTCAGTTGTGGAACGTGGCATCCCAATCTAAACAAAATTTATTTTATTGAAATAGCAAAAAGAACAAAAAAGTGCGTGTATAGGTATATAATAAAAAGAACAAGCCGATGATGGTAAAGCTCAAACAAATGAAAACATAAATATTTATAGTAGGCCTCGATTTGAATTATGAGAAGAGCATTGTCGTCTGGAGTCTTCACAAAAATGTATTGTTTACAGTTAAACCTATGTATAGACATCTGATCAACAGCGATATATATTAAGATCACTGTTTGCCAACAGCGATTTAGTTCATTTAAATAATATTTGAACGGTATACAAAAGCCACCTGTATTATTTAGACCATAAACGATGAACTAAACGATTGTGCTGTTTAAAATTGTTTAAACCATTTAAAACCTGAATAGTCTAAACAGACTTCACTTATAATATGATTAAATGAGCTAAACGACCATTTAAGTAACCACTTTGTCAACAGGAGGATTAGAACTACCACATTGCCACCTAACTAATTGTGGCAGAACCGCCTAATCTAATGCCCTCTCAAGAGTACTTGTCTTCCATTAGACACGAAATACCCAAGAGAGTGCACTAAATCATGCCGTTCCGTCGAGGAGAACTCGAAAATCCATATTTTTCGTTAGGATCATAAATGAGATAATAAAGCTTACAACATCTTTAGTCATTTCTTACATCATTTTATTACAGTAGCAGAATATTACCTTAATTAATTATAACAGCGGAATATAATAATATTATCAGAGCTTTCGGCGGAAATGTATATAACGACAAGTTTAAACGCTAACACGAGGAACATTTATATTGATGGAATGATAACAGACTGTAAGTCTTTTTCTTTGCAAAAACAATTTGTGAAAATTTGAATAAACTCTACGTCGGCAACGTAAGAAAATCCTCGCTGACCCCACCAGGAGGGTTCCACACACAACAGTCGTCTATGTATCCTCCGATCACCTGCAACAGGGGGAATAAAACCCTGAGTACTCGATTGTACTCAACAAGACTTACCCGACAGGAGAAAAATAAAAGACTCCAAGGATATGCAAGGCTATCTGGCTTGTGGGTTATTGCATCTGTAGGAAACAATACTAAACGTGCGTCCTTATATTCAATTTTATTAGCAGTCATCATTAGTTCATTAACTAACCATTCTATGTAAGCATCTATGCTACTTTCAAGCATATGGTAAGTAATCAGAACTATTTTACCATCTTTCATATTATAGTTCTTACTACGGTGCTAGACCATAGCCAAGTCGTACTGTCTCACAGAAACGGCGATTCGCGAATCAATGTATCCCAGCTGGGTACCCCGAAACACACGTGTAACACCCCTGGTGTTACGAGCTTGCTTAGCACCGAGATTTAGGTTCGAGAAGGATTAGCCTAACAAGTTTCTGGGTTTTAAAAAAATATAACACACGTGACGCAAAAAAACAATTTCTAGGAATAAGGATCAAACATAACTTGTATTTATACTTAAATAAAAATTAAAGTACAAGTTTAGCAGATGAAAATGCGACTTTAACTTTTGAAAAATAGATATTGTTAACTAGTGTTTTGGAAGATCAAAAATCAAATTTGATGTTAAGATAATCTCTTTTCGTTAAGTCGGCAAACACTTGAACTATTGTTAAAATATCATTTTTGGCAAATTATATTAAGCAAAATAGTTAAATGGTGCTTAAATATTTTGCTCCTACGAGTTAGTATAAGGTATGGACTATTGCATGAAGTATTTATTGGTTGAAGTTAACCAGGTTTAGATCTATAAAAATTGCAACAAAAGAGTTAATGGGTACTTATCCTCAATTAAAATCCTTAACTTTCCTAAGTATGAAAAAGTGATAAGACAATGTTATCTTGACATTTAAATTCTAACTAAAATATTTAAACATTTGTTGCATGTTTTGGTATTGTTGATTGCATCAAAGTGGGTGCGTGAGAATGGCATAGGTCAAAATTGTGTTGGATGTCACGTTGTCCGCTCAAAAATTGCCCTAACTTCACTAGAACGCGCTGTGAACCATGATTCGGTACTCGGTTCGCGAACTGGTGTTCAACGCGATGAGCTCCTGTTGGCACCTCTCTATCTCCCTCGATGCTCACTCTCCGGCCATGCTCGTTGATCGGATGAGAAGCACTTAGTGGCTACTAGAATCTTGAACTCTTGTTTTAATCTCAATTGGGCTCTAAGCGGTTGGTTTTGACGCTTTAAAATTCGTGCTTCACACGTGGTTCGGCCGTTTGGGCCCGGGGACGCGGTCACCGCGTTCGATGTCTCGCCGTCGTGGGCTACCTACACCCATGTTAGCCACTGCTACCACGTGCTGCACCGCGTGTTGGTTGGCGTACTCTGTGGCCGTGGCCACTGTCCCGCTGACCAACCGAGTGGCGTCGTCTGCCGTCGGGCCAGGCGTGGCCGCAGTCGTGGGGCGCTGCCGATGTGGCGCTATCGAAGCACACCTGTAGGGCTGTGTGTTGTCCTCTTGTTATTTTGGTTACTGCAGCGCTCACCCTTAGCCGCACAACCCACCTACCGAACCCAAGCTCAACGTTGTACGTAGTTATTGCATCACGACACCGTGCTACTGCGTGCGTGTGGCCGCACGCGGGCACACCTCTTGGCTCCGTTTAGCCCTAACCGATGAGCCGCCTATCCTTCGCTCGAGCGGTCATATCTCCATGCTGTCATGTCTCGTTGGGTTGTGGCCAAGCCATCTCTGCCGGGGCCGCTTC